CATTCTACATAGGAAATTCTAGAAACAGTCACTTAGCTAAGCAGACTTTTGTTAGGGGTAATATATATATATATATGTATATATATAGTATATATTATATATATCATGTATTATATGTATAATACATGATAGTCTTTAAAATTCAAGGAATATTTTTGCTAGCCTCAAGAGAAAGATTTATTTAACAATAATATAGGCTTCAAGGATTATGTTATTTAGCCTATAAGTTTTACATATAACTACATTTTATATGGAATACCCAAACCTGAAAACAAAACATAGCAAAAAAAAACCCCTTTGTTTTTGGTATTTTACACTGTCAAAGGCTATCACTGCTTTACCCACTATTACCTGATTACATTCTTCACTTACCCTTTCCCACAGCTTTGGTTCCACATTATCTAAAACTGCCGTTTATCAACAATGGTATCAGACTTCACTAAATCATTAATTCTTCTTCTTTCATTTGCTGTCAACTCACTGTTTACTTCTCAGATTGTCAGACTTTACAGATCAAACATAGACTCCCCCTAGCTGGCTCTGTCATATAGTCTTCTTTTGGATTAGTTCCATAAAGGCCCTCCAAACAGGTGCATTCCAAACACCCTTTAACATTACTTATCTTTCCTTTGCATTTGGATTAAAAAGCACAAGAGTACTTTAAATTATCTAATTAGAATTTTCATGGTCTTTTAAATTAACAAGTCAAAAAAACATAGTGAAACAATTACATAAAAAGTCATGTCTAAACAGTTGTTGTTTTGTCCCCAGTTGGCTGTAATTCATTCAACATCCATTCATTTTGTGGACATTATGAGCAGAGGGAGTGTGTAAAAAGGCTTCTGTAGTGAAAATTTGTCACTATAGCTGGGGAATTGCATTATATGACTGTTAAATAATCACCTTCCCAGCTCTGTGACAACCAGAGGATAGATTTAAAAGCTAGGCTTAGCTATTCAGAATCATCCACTTGAAATTTTTCACATGGAGATGGTTGGTCACATATGGGGAAAATTCTCTTTGGTAAGGAATAGAGATAGCAGCACACAGTTCCAGGAGCAACCATGACAGCAACGGTATCCAATGTCTGGTTTATGGTGGATACCAGTGCACCCACACTCTGCTCTGGTAATAGCAAGTGTGCTGTCACTCCACTGAGGTGTGATTTCATTGTGATTCTAATTATGCAGCTTTCTCTTATCTTTGTCCATTTCTAAATCTGGTTCTGCAGGTTTTCCACAATTTTCTTTTAGTAATTCCTTTCTACTTAATCAGCCAAAATCTGTTTCTATACTTGTAACTAATAACCCAAACCGATACAAACTACCATTTATTGAGACCCTACTTTTTTGTCCATGGACTTAACAAGCCTGAGTTTATTTTACCTATTCATTTCTATAAAGTAGAAAAAATGAGGCTTAGAGAAGGTAAGTAAAATTAATATTCTGATTTACTTTAAACTTATTATCTTTATATAACATGCTCTAGAAGAAGCAAGTAAATTTTAAAAAATAGTATACACAAATTTTTATTCATTAAATTTCTTTTATCTGAGGGAGAGGTTTTGATTTTTATAAAGTATTTGATTTACCTCTTTTTTATTTTTATTTTTTTTTTAATTTATTTATTTGACAGAGTTACAGACAGTGAGAGAGACAGAGAGAAAGGTCTTCCTTCCGTTGGTTTACTCCCCAAATAGCCACAATGGCTGGAGCTGCGCCAATCTGAAGCCAGGAGCCTGGTTGCCCTTCTTGGTCTCCCATGCAGGTGCAGGGGCCCGAGCACCTGGACCATCTTTTACTGCTGGACTGGAAGAGGAGCAACCGGGACTAGAACCGGCACCCATGTGGGATGCTAGCACTGCAGGCAGAGGATTAACCTAGTGCGCTACAATGCTGGCCCCTTGATTTACCTCTTGATTGATCGATTTTATAGTGGAATGATAGGCATCATGAACTGATGCTTCTAGTCCCAGATCAGAGAGAATTTAGGTAAATTAGTTTCCTTTCTAGAACTCATTTTCCTATCTACATTAAGAAAGAGCATGCTGTTTAAATTATCTATACCATCCCTTCCAGTGCTGACATCCTACGAAGCTAGTAAAAATTCATGACCCTGCTGAAAACAAAATTAAATCCTCCTTTTAACCACAACAGGAATACTCATTAGAAAGAAATGTCTGCATACTTATTTATCCTTGGATAATATGCCTTCTGTGGTAATTGTTCCCAAGATACTATATACAAGATACTAGGTAACTTTAAGGTTTAGGCCAATTATTTCTTGCTCTTTGCTTTTAATAAGTCAAACCAATAACCAATTGACAGAGATGATCTCAAGGAATAGACTTCGAGTTTGAATTTGGATTGGATTAGATTCTTTGCTCAGATTCTCAAGCCAGGGGTCTCCCTGACTTCCTTTCTTTCTCTTCTTTATCTTTATTCTTCCTGGAAACATTTTTGATTGCTGTAGAAATGTGGGGGAGGGGACAGTGCTTTTGTCCTCTACTGGGTAATGGCCAAGAATGCTGGTAAGCACACTACGAGGCACAGGATAGCCCCCACAACAAAGAATTCTGCAGTCTATCTGTCAATAGTGCCATTGTTTAGACTCCCTGCGGTAAACACAAATGTGTTGAAAACTAAACCTATATTCTGGGCTGTGTTTTCAACAGAATTTCTGTGTAAGTCATTGAGTTTTCCTACTTGAGAAAGGCACTGTCTTCCTTTGATTAGTTTCTCCTTACCCAAAGAAGCCAAGTAACAATGATCAGATAAGGTGTTAAATCCTTTGGAAAAAGGAACTGCATGCCTCACATTTAGCTTGAAGAGACCCACAAGCTCAAGAGCTAAAAACGTGAACTTTATACCCCTGGGCAGTATGTGAGGACTCCAGAAGTCAACATTAAGTAGAGCAATAGTGACAGCTCCTCTGGCTGCTTTCTAGCACAATAAATGTGCAGGAGCCTATCACCTGCAGAGTAGGCACAACAAAACACATATCCCTCTAGTACCCAGGCTGTACCTTTGTGTTACACCTTCTCTGTGGTTCACAGTATTAACAAGACTTGGTCTTCTACCTGAAAAATAATTGACCTTTCAGCTTAACCTAAATAAATAGGTGTGGTCTGGGGAACAGATCTATTATCCTTTAAAACATTCTTTAACTTTTAAATATTCAAAGGTATTTACATTTATAATGGTAAAGCTGAAAACAATCTAAAAATCCAATACTTAGAAAGTACCTAAATTGAGGACAACACTCTTGATGGACTACTACTTAGACAATTAAGTTTGTATTTGTGGACACTATTATATAATATAGGAAAAATGTAACAGTGAAAAGGATAGTATATAAAGTTAAATATATGTCTACAAAATTGAAAATAAAGCTATTCATAGTGAAAAATAATGTCAGAACCGCAGTAAAGTTATAGAAATACCATATTTCTAAAGAGTACACAGTACATTTTTAAGGCTTGATCAAAGAAAAGGGACTCCTAGGGCCACCAACAAAGGATAGAAAATGCAACTCATTACCATGGTGCACAACAAAAAGCTTATTCTCATTGATAGCAGATGAGAGGATAAGTTTTTGTAGGCATTCATTTCAAGTAACTGAATATGAATTTACCTTTTTAGCTACACAGGAAAAAATGTTGAAGAAGTATTTCTCTTTGTCTTTTCAAAGCCTGGAAATAGAAAAGAAACTAGAAATATGTTTGACTTTAGGACAGGAGTAAAGAAAATTCTTTCCTCTTGTTGCCTTTTTTCCAAATTTTCTTTTTGTTGATCATTACCTTAATATATGAAAATCCAACAGTTCAACACATAATTCTATTACTAAACAAAAGAAAGAAAGAAGTAATAACGTTTGCTGAAAGAATATTGACTGAAAATCAATCTATCACTCCTTGTCTAGAGGGAAAACAACGAGAACAGAGGAATAGAAAAGGGAGAAAAGCACACAAAAATCCTTACTCTGGAAATAAAAGAAATTGATTATCAGATCAAAGAAACTTTTGTCTTCAAAAAAAAATTGTGGCAAAGAAAGGGAAAAATGAAGAAAAGACCAGGGAAGCTTTTCAATATTAAAAAAGTTTCTTTAGAGAAATCTGCTGAGGCCTGCCAGCATGAGGAAATATAGTTCTTCCACTGGTGGAGCTTTCTCTATAGGCTTTCGCTTAAAATGCTCAGCAGGGATGTACAGAACAAGACACAAAGCCACAACAAAGCAGCGTCCTAGATACGTGAAGCTTTCCTCTCCATGGTCAGTCAGATTTCACAACTGACAAATTCCTCTAAAGCAGCTAGCGGCCCTTTCTACCATTATTACAAATAAATGAAAATAGCAGACCCATTTCAAAGCTTCGTTTCCATTTGAGACACCAATATTTTTAACGACAATGGTATTTTCCAAATATGATAAATGGATGATCATGTGATAGATGAACAAATTATTTATGCTGTAAGTATCATCAGTGAACCCCCATTGTCTCATCAGAAAAAAAAAAGTTACTGAAACAACAATGACAAATAGAAAACCTCCCTATTTTCTCTTCCTTGTGAATGTGAGAAGAAAACACCTGCCAGTTTCAGTCCTCCAAAAATGGTTTTAATATAAGGTCACAGAAAATTCAAACGTTTTATGGCCCACTGTAAATCAGCTCTTTGTCTCTTCCTACTAATTCCCTAGTGTCACATTTAACAAAACAAGGAAACTACAGATAGTAGAGGTGTTTGCAGATTAGCTTTCCAAGCCATAAATAACATGAGGTTTTGCTCACCCACAAATATTAAGGCAGCTTATCAATGTTTAAGCCCCTTCCTCTTTGTAGTGCTTGCTAACATTTTAACCAGACAAACTGAGAATTTTTCTTTCCTGTCTTCTTAAATTGACAGAGTACACATTCATAAGATTCTATTATCAGATTTGGTGGTATAAAGAGTGAGACATCACCTAAACACCTGCCTGCTACTTGCGAGTGCCTGTTTTGGAAGATGCACCTGCTCTGTGCTTTGCTTGTTGTGTTCTCTCTTAGTGATGGTTCCAGTCTTCACTGTCCTAGAAGATGTAGCTGTGATTCTGCACAGTCGGTGCAGTGCTACAGACTAACAGAGGTGCCATCAGGTATTCCTCCTAGCACCAAGAGGCTCTTTATTAGCCACAGCAAAATTCAGCACCTCCAGGTAACTATGCCATTCTACACTCATGGTGTGACCATTTTATTTTGTGAGGCAGGGTGTGAGGTTGTTAAACTTGATTTTAATAATTCTACTTGAAAATGCTAGATATCAATTTAGAGTAGTTGCAATAGCTACCTGCATGCTCTATACTACCAAGATGTGTATATGCCTCTGGTATTTCTTTTACAGGAAGCAGCAGGAAAAAAATTAGAATCTAAGATAAATGATATCTTATTTCAATTTTTATTCAAAAATTTGAAGCTATGTTGTGGCAAAAGGAAAAGTGAAGAAAATCTTTTTCTTCCTTAAATTTTTCCTTATTTTACTTATTTTCCTCTTATTTTTACTTATTTTCTTCTTATTGGCAAGGGGAGGGAGGGAGGAAGGAGGCTGGGCCAGGCCAAAGTTGGCCCTGGAACTCAATTCCGGTTTCCCACATGGGTGGCAGGCACCCAACTACTTGAACAATCACCTGCTGCCTTCCCATGAAGTGCATTAGTAGGAAGCTGGATCAGGAGGAAAGAAGCCAGGACTTGAACCATGCACTCTGATAGGTATGCAGGGCTCTCAAGTGGAGACTTAACCACTCCACTGAGCACCCATGCTGGGAAGGAGCTCTTTCTTAACCAAAAGAGCACATTGCCATTTTGTATCCCCAGGATTAAGAATAAGTCCTAGCCGGCGCCGCGGCTCACTAGGCTAATCCTCCACCTTGCGGCACCGGCACACCGGGTTCTAGTCCCGGTCGGGGTGCCGGATTCTGTCCCGGTTGCTCCTCTTCCAGGCCAGCTCTCTGCTGTGGCCAGGGAGTGCAGTGGAGGATGGCCCAAGTGCTTGGGCCCTGCACCCCATGGGAGACCAGGATAAGTACCTGGCTCCTGCCATCGGATCAGCACGGTGCGCTGGCTGCAGCGTGCCGGCCGCAGCGGCCATTGGAGGGTGAACCAACGGCAAAGGAAGACCTTTCTCTCTGTCTCTCTCTCTCACTGTCCACTCTACCTGTCAAAAAAAAAAAAAAAAGTCCTTTCAGGAGAAACATTGTTTCATTCATGCCATGGAGGTGGCAGATGCTACTTGGAACATCATTGCTATTAAGAGAAGCTCAGTTTATCAGAACAATTTATACAAAACCCTCATACTAGCTAGTTATCAGTGTCATTTTGGAAACCTATACAGAGTAAATATATGAGTGTTTTTGTTTTGCAGTTACCTGTAGTTCTCATCCTGTGCTGTTAATTATGACTTTTATCATCAGGCCCACCTATCTGGCGAGTGCTAGAGGGAGTGTTATAGGTTTGTCTGATATTTTAACATGAAGAGATTGTCGTTTTCATCTTTGATATTTTGAAAGATATCACAGGACTAGTGTTCTCATCCTAGTTTTCTCACTAAAGATGTAACCATCTTAGGCAAGATGTTAAAAATGTCATTGGTCCTCACTTTTTATCTTTATAAAGTCAGAAGACTGCTTTAGATAGGCGATCAAAAGTCTTTTCTAGATGGAAAATTCTTTGGGTCTCTAATTATCCCTTTAATATTCACTGCTGCTCCTTCATCGATCCAAATCCTAATATAAGGAAATACCTCTCTGGGAGCCAGGTGCAGAGAGGCAGAAGGTAAATGTGCTTGCTGCAAATAGAGAACCTCCCTTTCATTTGGTTAAGAAGTGTTCACAGAGGTGTCACATAAACACACAGAGTTTGACGTATATGGCATGGTATTTATATCCAGGCTTAATAAGCACAATTATCTGGTCTCCATCTGTTTATTTTCCTCTTCTACCCTTGTAGCGCCTAATGCCAGGGAGCAAGCCTGACCCTGTCAGGTCTAAGCATTCAAGCAAGACACCTGGTTAAAGGGTAAGATGTTTAAATATTTGCTCTGAGCACTTGAGATGCCTAGTGAGATGGAGCATCAGCTAAGCCTTGTATTGATCCTAGGCTGCTCCTTTGTAGCCAATAAGATGAAATTATACCTGTCATCAAATTCTGTTATCAAATGAATCAACTTGTCATTGGCATACGTTCATTGAGCAATAGTCTTGCCACTTCTTTGACTTTAATTAGCCTAATGAATTGCCTCTTACAAAGACAGGTGATAATAGGAAGACTAATGAAAGACACCATTTTTTTTGTTAAGGAAATGATGCTTAGGTTTTAAATGGCCATTTTTCACTTGGTGCATACAATTTCTAATGTTTAATTAGAAAAAACATTAAAATTGATCCTCAGATGAACAGTAATAATATTATATACAAGTGGAAAATAATTATTTAGTATATATGTATATAAATATACACCACAATTTAAAATGTTTATATTATTTGTTCATATAATCCATCTCTGTTTGGGACTGTGCATGGTATGCTGGAGGCTGAGGATAAAAGGCGAGAAGTTCACAGCCTCTGCCCTCAGGAACAGAGTTTATTCATTTGTCTATAAAAGTTCCTACTTCTCTGAGGTTCATGCTACTGGGCTGTAATGTTCGTTCTGTGTTCTGTCTAGTCCCTCCCTTACTGGCTTGCAGTTTTCCTCTCCATCCTGAGTCCTGCATCTTCTTGTGCACCTTTAGTGTCCATGGGGAAGGCTGGTCCAACAACCTAGTCTCATACTTCCTTCAACTCATAAAAAAGACATCTATCCTCATATCCATTTTACTCCAGCTATCTTGGTGACATCTCTCTGTTTTATCATAAGTCATAATCCTCGTTATCACTTGGAACTTCTCCACTCAGAAAGTCCTGAATTATTTTCCTTCTAACTGCCATACTCCACACTTTTTTCTTTCCACCTCATGGAAGCAACTAACCCTAGAATTATCCATGTCCTCCCAGATAATCAGTTTATTTCTCACCCACTTTCTTTCTCTATGCCTTCGCTCCCTGCATCCCACAATAAATTGTCTTAAAACCCACCCAGCAAAGCCTCAATCTTAAATTAGGGTAATGATTTTCCTTCATTTCTTCTATACCTAGACAGCTGGTACTGCTGGAAAGGATCACAAAACTAGATGGTTTGGACCCAGAAATTCATCTCTGATTTCAGCTTGGTCTTCACTGTCACCAGTCTATCCTTTCAGTTGTTCTTGGTCAGGTTCTCCCTTCATTCTCTTTGCATATTCCAGAACTACAGTACAGTCTTGCATTGCCTAATCCTTGTCTTCCTCATTCTCAAGAAACGGCTGGCCTTCCATGCAGTTGACAAATCATGACAACACTTCATCTCTATTGTTCCTACAGTGTGTACAAACTTCTGTGAACTCTTTCCTCCAGACAGAGGATGAGCTGTTTCTCCTATTCAAGACAAACCCTCTCCTCACAACTGTCTCCACCTTTGATTCAACCTTTCTCACTTCTCCCAGATTTTGTTCCCATTCTCCACACTCCCATATCTTCAGTTGCTTTTTCTTTATGAGTTCCTGGCTGCAGCCTATACCTGTGTTCCTCCACTTACAATAACAACTCCTCTGAAAAATTTTTTTAATATATTTTTCTTTTTACTTGAAAGGGAGACAGAGAGAGATGTACCATTCACTGGTTCACTCCCCCAAATGCTTGCAAGAGCCAGGGCTAGGCCAGGCCAAATCGAGACACCCCACCCTCTTCGCCCACCCAAGCTTCATCCAGGTCTCCTACATGGGTGGCAGGGACTCAAGTACTTGAGTCATCATCTGCTGGCTTCCAGGATACACATTAGTAGGAAGCTAATTTATAGCACAGTAGTGAGGACTGGAACCTAGGACTGTTATAAATTATAGCACAGTAGTGCAAGAACTCTGATACTGGATGCAGTTGCTCCAAATAGCAACTCAACAGTTGTACCAAACACACACCCCAATAATAATATCCTCTTAATTCTGTGTCTTTTGTTGATTGTATCCCTCTTTATTTTTAAAACTGTATAAGAGTAGTCTATATTTTTACTGTCTCCCTTTCTTCCCCTCCTATTTAATTCACTGCTGTTTGGCTTCTATCTAATCCTTATGCTCAAAAACTGTTCTAGTATGTGGTTGCTTAATATTTTCTTGGAGGGCCGGCGCCGTGGCTCAATAGGCTAATCCTCCACCTTGCGGCGCCGGCACACCGGGTTCTAGTCCCGGTCGGGGCGCCGGATTCTGTCCCGGTTGCCCCTCTTCCAGGCCAGCTCTCTGCTATGGCCAGGGAGTGCAGTGGAGGATGGCCCAGGTGCTTGGGCCCTGCACCCCATGGGAGACCAGGAAAAGCACCTGGATCCTGGCTCCTGCCATCGGATCAGCGCGGTGCGCCGGCTGCAGCGGCGGCCATTGGAGGGTGAACCAACGGCAAAGGAAGACCTTTCTCTCTCTGTCTCTCTCTCTCACTGTCCACTCTGCCTATCAAAAAAAAAAATAAATAAATAAATAAAAAAAAATTTTCTTGGAGTTTTTACTCTCTTGCTTTCCACGATACCACCTTTTATGTCCTCATTGTTCCTCCCTTATCTTTTTTGTCCTTTTGTTCATTTCTTTTCCTCTATTCCCCCTCCCCGTACTGGGTTTCTCAATCCTCAGCCATTCCTTCTTTTACTACACACATTCTCCTTATCTGACCTCATTCTGTCTAATATGATGGCTTCCAGAACTGCATCTCTAATTCACTGGACTTCTTCACTCAGATATATAAGAAGGCTCTCAAAACAACATGCCCAGAACCAAATTCAATCTTTTTTGCCTAAACTTGTGGTCTTTTGTGACTGGCCTCTTTGCCTTAGCATAAGTTCCTGAAGGCTCATCTATCTTAGAGCATGTGTAATCTCCTTGCTTTTAAGGCTGAATAATAGTGTGCTGTTGGTATATACTGCATTTTGTTTATTAACAAGCTGATGGGCATCTAGATTGTTTCCTCCTTTTGTTATGATGAATGATGCTGCAATAAACATTTGTATACTAGTCTTTGTTTGGACGTATGTTTTCATTTGTCTTGGGCATATACCTGGGAGTGGAATTTCTAGGTCCTGTGGTAACTGTTTAACATTTTGAGAAATACC